TCTGAGAATGATGGGAGGGTGGTTGTTGTTATTGCTCCTGTTTTTGGCCATTTCTTTAATAGAGATACATGAAATACAGGGTGCAATTTTGATGTTGCTGGAAGGTCAAGCCTGTATGCCACAGACCCAATGCGTTCCACAATCCGAAATGGGCCGAAGTACCTTGGGCTCAGTTTGTTCCACCTGTGGCCTGCTACTGAAACTTGCATGTGTGGTTGTAGTTTAAGGAAGACTTGCTCCCCAATCTGGTGCTGGACAGGCCTATGCTTTTTGTTGTAAGAGTGCCATCCATTGTTGGGCTCGACGGAGGTGGGATTTGAGATCTTGTAACACCCTATCTCGCTAGAGGAGTTGGTCTTCCATTGCTGCTACTGCTGTAGACCCTTTCTCATATGGGAGTAGGGGAGGTGGGTCCTGTCCATATAGATCCCAGAAGGGAGTCATTCTTGCTGCGCTGTGATACGTGGTATTGTACCACCATTCCGCCCAATGAAGCCACTTGAGCCACTGACATGGCCTATCCCCTACATAGCACCTTAGATAGGTTTCCAAACTTCGGTTGACCACCTCAGCTTGCCCATCTGTTTGAGGATAGTAGCTGGTAGATTTGAAGAGTTTCACTCCCTGTAGTCGAAAAAGTTCTGCCCAGAAACGACTCATAAAAATTGGGTCGTGGTTTGAGACAATAGAGTTAGGGGTACCATGCAGTCGTGCCACCTCCTTAGTAAAAATCTTAGCTACCATTGAAGCTGTAAAGGGGTGGGAAAGAGGGAGAAAATGGCAGTATTTGGTGAATCTATCAACAACTACGAGAATGACGGACTTGCCATAGGAAAGGGGAAGCCCTGTTATGAAGTCCATGGATATATCCGCCTACACTTGTGTAGGAATTGGGAGTGGTTGTAGTAGACCTGCTGGAGACTAGGTATCAGCCTTATTTTTCTGGAAAATGACGCATTCGGCTATGAATTTTTGGACCGAATTCCGTATGCCTTTCCAGTGGAATTGGGTGGCTAGTCTCTTGTAAGTGTGCAAAATCCCTGAGTGTCCTCCTGCTGGTGATGAGTGGAACACTTCAAGAAGCTGCTGAATATGGGCTGAATCTTGTGGTATCACCATTCGACATTTATACAATAGCAAGTTATTCTCCACTGTGTACCCTGGGTGGCTAGAAGGGTTCTCTTGAACCTGTGAACGCAGCTTGTTCAGTTGTGGGTGTCTTTCAGCTTCTTCCCTTAACTGACTCATGATGGAACACATTGGGCCCGTGAGAAGTAATGGAAATAGTTGTGGTTGGCGTGACAACGCATCCGCCACCTTGTTACTGTGCCCTGCCTTGTATTTAATGACATAATCGTAGCCGAGTAATTTGGCTATCCATCGCTATTGTTCCGGGGATAGTACGGACTACTCTAACAGAAATTTCAGGCTATGGTGGTTAGTTCGTATGATGAACCTTCTCCCTAGAAGGTAGGGTTGCCACCTCTGAACTGCGAGAACAATTGCTATCAGTTCGCGTTCGTATACTGACTTGGCCCATTTTTGTGCTGTCATTGCTTTGTTGAAAAATGCTAGTGGCCTTTCTTCTTGCATGAGGACCGCACCTACTCCTTGGCTTGACACATCGCATTCAATGATGAAGTCCTTTGAGAAGTTTGGAAGTGCGAGCGTCGGTGGGGACAAGACAGTTGTTTTGAGCATCTCGAAGGCCTGTTGGGCCTCCCTAGTCCAGCAGAAMCCATTCTTCTTAAGTAAACTTGTCAAGGGGGCAGCAATCAGTCCATAYCCTCTGATGAATYGCCGGTAGTACCCTGTTAGACCCAAGAAGCCCCGTAACTCCTTAACATTTTGAGGTCGGGGCCAATTTATCATGCTTGAGATCTTTTCCGGGTCTGTTGCTACAATGCCGTTTTCGACTACGTGCCCTAAGTAGTGTACTTGAGTCTGTCCCAATGCGCACTTTGACTCCTTTGCAAAGAGTTTATGAGTCCTTAGTAGTTCCAAGGTGATTTGTAGATGTACTAGGTGTTCGTCCCATGTAGYGCTATATACAAGTATATCATAAAAAAATGAGTATAAATTTGCGCAAATGGGGTCGAAATATGTCATTCATAAGTGCTTGGAACGTAGCTGGCGCATTGGTCAACCCAAACGGCATGACCAAAAACTCATAATGCCCCTCGTGTGTACGAAAGGCGGTCTTGTGAATGTCACCCTCATGGACCCGAATTTGATGATATCCCGATCTCAGGTCTAGTTTAGAGAATATTGTGGCCCGACCGAGTTCATCTAGTAGTTCATTGATTACCGGTATGGGAAATTGATCCTTCACAGTAATGTTGTTCAGGGCCCTATAGTCTATACAAAACTGCCATGTCCCATCCTTCTTTTTCACAAGTAATACCGGCAAGGAGAATGGGCTTTGGCTGGGTTGTATAATTTTTCTATCAAGCATATCTTGCACTTGTCTCTCAATCTCTAGTTTTTGAAAATAGGGGTAACGATAGGGCCTTACATTTGTGGGTGCCGTTCTGGGCAGCAATGGAATGCAATGATCATGGGCATGTCTCGGTGGTAGTTCCTTAGGCTCTTGGAAGATCACTAAAAACTTCTGAAGTAGCTGCTGTAGTTGTATGTGGGCTTCTTCGGATCTGCTAGAGTTACTTCCTTGGGCTAGAATTGGGCCGTTCCCGTGGGAGTCTATCTGCATTAAAATGATGTGGGCTGGGTCTGCTGCCTGTTTTCTTAGTGTGGCGAAACTAATGGGTCCTGGATCCTTGGACAGCTGTCCTTGAATATGCACCTGTGAGCTGCTCACTTGAAAGTCCATTGTGAGACGGGCCTAGTCACATATCACCGGCCCTAGTTGCCTTAACCATTGGACTCCGAGAACTACATCTGCTCCACTGATTTCTAGGGGATGTAGATCTACCTCGAACTCGTGTCCTTGTATCTTCACTTTTAATCCTGTGCATGTACTATCGCACACCAGGTTGCTCCCATTAGCTACGTGCACCCGGAATGCTGTACATGGTTGGACCGGAATCCCTAGTTGTTTGACCAATGTTTGGGTAATGAAGTTGAGAGTGCTACCACTATCTATAAGAACCGACACATGGCGCCCTTATACCAGTCTGGTTACTCTCATAGTTTGAGAGGAGGCAAGACTGGTCAAGGCTTGTAGGGATACTTCCGGGTATTCCTTTGTCCATTGCCCCCATTCTTGGTTGTCCACTGGCTCATCAATGTCTACTGATTGCTCGGCGTTTTTGGTTTCGGGCTGAAGGAAGAATACTTGCGGGATCTTACAGCGATGGCCCAGTCCGAATTTGTCTCCACATGCATAACAAAGGCCCTTTTCTCGTTGGGCTTGCATTTCAGCCCAGGTTAACCTCTTGGCTGAGCCAGGGCCTGAACCAGAGTTGGCTTCCTTGCTTGTGATTCCTACTCCTGGTCTGGACTCCAGTTCACCCAAGATACCCGGTTATGGATTCGGTATACCTGGTCTGACCGCAGCTCCCAAAGGTCGATTAATCCTTCTTGCCCGATTTAGTTTGTCTTCATGGAGTCGAGCTAAGGCTGTGCGTCAAGAACGGTGGTGGGTTGCATGGCTTTAACCTCCAGCCGTAATTCTTCCCTGAGTCCACCAACAAAACTGCCGACAAGTGCGTTTTCTGGCCACCCTTGCATGCGCACAACTAACCTTTCGAACGCCATCTGATAATCTTGGACGGAGCCGGTCTGTCGTAGCTTAGCGAGGATTTCATCATAGTTTTCAAAAGCCGAGACTCCAAATCTCATGGTTAAGGCATCGGTGAAGTCCACCCATGTGGCTCTTGGGTGCCGTCGCCGGTACCACTGATACCAGGCGATCGCCTCCCCTTCCAGGTGTGCGGAAAGCTAATGGAACACAATCAGGTCCCTGCGTATCGTGGTAATCGAAGTACCTTTCAGTTCGCAGAAGCCAGGACGTGGGATCTCCCCCTGCGAAGACGGGAAACTCGATTCTTGCCGTTCTTGATCCGCTTCGATGACTGGTGTGACTACGTTCTTCTTGCCCTTCCCGATTCGGCACAGAGAGAGAGAGAGAGAGAGATTGTATTCCCAAAATCAATAATTCCTCTTCTGGCTTCCTTTCCTTATTTAAATTCTGTTATATCAGCCTCTCCACTTGTCCAGTTTGTTATTTAGTTTGTTCTAGTGGTTGGTTGTCAATTACATTACTTAAAGGCTGATGTGGCCTTTTCTTGTACACTTGTCTCTCTACTCCCTTTATTTGTGTCTCAACAGTTACTTCTTTTGTTAATATTGATGCGACTTAGGCGTTTTCTTCTTCTAATCTACTATTGTCAGTCATATCTAGTTCACATGAACTCAGTCACATCTGTTTTTTTTCTTGTACATGTGCATGTCTTTTACTTTTTGGAAGTCGATCATGTTTTTTCATTTCAACCAAGGAGACATCATCTGCAACTCCTCATGCAAGATTCTTCATAATTCCATTAATCTCTTTTAAGGACTTTGCAGCTTTATGGATACTTTGTTTTTACAGTTTGCAATCTACATTAAGCACTTTTGTATATAGTTTACCAAATGAGGAAAAATGTCTTTAGTTGGCAATCCATATCTGACTGGTTGACTTTGTCCTTTGGTGGCAGTGGCACAAACTCTTTTTGGGTTCATAAACAATGGTTATTCCTCTGAAAATTTTATTATAATTTGTTTTCTTTTTTTAATTTTATCTCTTGTATCCACCAAGTAATACAGGGTTTGCATGATATGTTAGTTCTAAGGAGATTCACTTTCTTATGTCAGGCTTCATTACTTTCACTTCTTCCAAAACACCTAATGAGGATAGCAGAAGTCCCAAAACTGACTGTTAATGTATTGGCACCTCTTGTCAGTTGGGTATGTGCTATTTCCATTTGAAAATCTAGTTAATTTCACTTTCAGTTTGTTGATGTTATTCCTATAGATTATTTTGATTCCTTATGGATGCTTATGTATATCTGCAGTTCCATGATAACTTCCATCTTAAAGGCCCAAGCAGTTCAGATTCAGATAGATCCTTTAAGGCTGCCCTTGCCCATGCTCTTGAAACACGTGCAGGGGCAGCAGAGGAGGTATGTTGATCTTGTTTCTAATATCATGCAACTGAAAGTACATATTAAATACTGAATTTTATAGTTTATCTACTTCTGAAGAATATTGACCTGGCAAACACTCGACATTGTTTCCTGAAGCAATGATGGTCTTGTTAGGGCATAATTCATGTGATGTGTGTGTTGATTTTACTAGCATTCTTGTCCATTCTCTACTTTCTTTTATACAATAATTGTATGGAACATTTGAAGTGTGTTATTGATAAAAAAAATTGTGTGGAACATTGAAGATGACCAACGATCAATTGGGAATAAAGGTCAATAAACTATTTCAAATTAGAAATGAATGTATTCAGAGAACTTAGGGTGAGCTGCAAAAGGTGATAAATTTTGAGAAAGTTGGTTAAGATGGTCGGGTCAACTGGTCAAGTGTCATTATGTGCAAATTGACATTAGAAACAATGAACTGTGAAACATAACAACCTAATGGATCAAATGCAGGTCACCTGAATAGAGCACCATGCAGCCTAATGTAACGAATAATTAATCATAATCATGTAATTCTACACAAACTATGTATTGATGAGCTATGAAACTTTGATTTTGTTTAAAACAAATAAGGTCAATTTAAGCTGGAGTTGACTAATTACATTAATACATTTTCTCAAGAAAGCCCATTTTTACTACAAACTGGAGCAGCTTGTGTTACTCATTTACTCATGATAACCATTGATGATATCTTATTTTCAAATTATGTTTCATAATGATTGTCACATTAGTCTTTGATATTAAGCACCTTTTAGACTTAGCCAGATGCCTTGCTTAGTCTCAAATACACATTTAATAAATTTACATTAATCTCATTGAGTTGAAGGTTCCTTAGCCAGAATGTGCATTTCTGTTCTATTGTATTTCTTAAACTGGCCAAGAATCCACATGCTGCTTTACTTGGAAGTTTTTACTCATTATTCACCCCAAGTAGGATTGGAATACCTAATCATAGGGCTGTCAATGGGTTGGATCTACCTGACAGATCCGAATTGACTGAACCAGTTATGTTTGTTCTGGCTCTGTGATTTTGTACCAATTAGTCATTGGATCAGGACCGGTTCTTGCTGTTCCGAACTGATTCAGACCTGAATTGATTATATAGTTAATAATATATAAAGGTCTCTTGTTTTTTTTTTGTAATTTTTGTTATATTTTATATCTAAAAGAGTAAATTTCATAAACATAACAACACATTTTATCAACATATAAACAGTTTACTATTTTAGTTTCAGTTTTATTAAGGTTATGTTATCAAGATGAAGTTCTAATTTGTTATTATCATTGGTAATTATAGGTGCAATGTATAATTGGGTCTAATCAGGCCAGACCTGATTGTCCCAATTAATAATTGGTTTGGTTTTGCATCTTTCATATTTGTCCGATTAGTAATTGGAATGGGACTGATGCATCCTGTCCCGAACCAGATTCCGACCTATTGACATCGATACCTTATACTAATAAGGTTCTGATGACAATGGTGTTTCCACATACACACACACACGCACGTGCATATGTTTTGATCAGGGATGGTGTTTCTGTGCATATATCTCTGCTAGGGGTGACTGCTATGTCTCTGTAGGAAGGTTAGAGATTGAGAATGTTTTATTGTGGAAGAAGTTAAAAAATTTGTTTTTTTTTTCATTTTTTGGGAAGTTACAGGTTTATCCATTTTGCAGGTTGCTGCATTGTCTGTGGCACTATTCAGAGCTCTTGATCTTACAACCCGGTATGACACTGTTGCTTTTTTGGCAATGAACACAGCATGGGACCCTTGCAAATAGTGATTTTTATGACCATTTCTTTTGATGTGAATCTGAAAAATTATAGAATATGGTTGTTGATCATCTAGGCAATCTTCCACAGGATAAATATGCAAAACCTGTTACAATGAATGGAGCATGAATGAGCTTACTATGGTTTTTTTGGTAGGTATTTTAGGTGTGAGCTAGGGTATAAGGAATTAAGGATTATGGAATAGGGGAAAAGATTCAAAAGAAAGTTGAAAAATGTTTTAGTTCTATACAATTAGGAATAATTTTAGGATAGATTTCTTGATAGAATTAGGGTCTAGTTTAAAGTTGATTGTTTTGTACGAGGGATGTTCACTGATGAAATTAGGATGTTGGATGGACTCCTGATGGAGTGCTCCATTAACTAGAGTTTGTGAAGAAAACTAGGGCTATCATCTATCAATTATGGCGTAGGAATGTCAATTCATACTCTTCGTAATTCTCATATAATCATAATAATTGAAACATGCACCCATTGTCTGGGGTAGGGGTAGGTAGATAGCCTGCTTTTTTCTGTTGAGATGCTTGGCACTATGTTTCTGATGTACTAGTATTTTTCTTTATGTCACTAACAGACTTGCTTGATTAGTTATCTATATATTATTTATCAAAAAAAGAGTTATATTTTTTTGATGAATAACTGAAGCATTTCATTAAAACTGAAATACCTAACTGCTCACCAAGATGGGCAGCAGGCCCAATAGTACGAGGCTAGCCCCTAAAATGAAGGAGCCCAAACTACCATAAAAAATACAGATTACAACCTGGCCCTGGGTAACCTCATTAAAGCTGTTTTCTTACCTCCTCTGCCCTAGCTAAAGAATCTGCCAATGTATTAGCACTTCTAGGAACCAAATTGAATGAGCTATTCAAAAGCTAGAGGATGTGCCAATCTCACCATCAACCTGAAATTTCAAGGGGTCATGCTTGACTTCTCATGCAGCTGATTATTGTTTCAGTCTTCCTCTATTTGCACATCCTTCATTCCTTTTCTTTTTTTTTATCAGTAACCAACCATTTTATTAACTAACTAAAAGAGAACTGTGCAACAATACATTCACCCATTAGGTGATGAAAGAAAGAGTTTATCCTTCATTCCTTTCAACGTCATCGGTTTTAACCTTGAACCAAGGCCTGCAATTCAGCTCTTAAAGAGTTACCAATGTAAATTGGCCCATAGCAATTCAGTAAAATATTACCATTGTTGTCCGTAATTGCACATTTGCACCCCCAACTTCTGACTCACCAAAGCAATTCAGCCCTAGTTGCTTGATCAGTTATTGATAAGAAAAGAAAAAAAGGAATCACTTTCTTTCAGCACTGGGTATTAGCTGGGTCATGCCAAGCACTGTGAAGGAGCTGCTGAATAGCTGGGAGCTGCAGGGACTGTTAAAGCTTGCAAGAAACATCTGGGAGATCATTCTGGCTGCTGTTATTAGCTTTATATGGACAGAGAGAGACAAAAGGATTTTCTGTAACACATGCAAAGATTCAGAAGATCTTATTGCTTTTGTCTTTGGAAAACTCCTGTCTTGGGTCTCGGCTGTCAAGGGGTTTCAGACCACCCAACTGGGGGCTAGGTTGGGTTCTGGGAATTTCTGGAATTTGTAATGGCTTGAAATCCATGCTGTCTTGACCTAAAAGATAATTTTGGGGGGACCCTCTTGTATTATTATCTCTGATTTAACAAATTTTTACCTTACCTTTAGTCAAAAAAAGAAAATCAGAAGACTTGTTTAAAATGAATCTTACTTGTTTTTAACACCTTATAAACAAAATTTTTCACCATAAAGATAAAGCAGAAGTTAATAAAGACTGAAACTACTAAAAATATAGAAATGAGGCAAGTGGTGAAGTTCTGGAATTGTACAACCAAACTGTGGGCAACCCAATTTCAGATTTTTAATCTTTTTGATGAAGGTAAACTGTGTGTGTTTGTCTACATATACACACTGGTTTTATCTCTTTTTGGTTTTCATGTACATAGAGGTTCTGTATAAGAGGTCAGGCTTTACAAAAGGAACAAGTACTGGGATATTCCTTGAAAAGCTGCTACATTGAAAGCCATGATATAAGTACTGCTTTACTTATAAACAAGCACAAGAGTACCTACTGCTTTTCTAAGGATCAGATCTTCAGAGGAAATGTTGTGTTCAAAAATATGTCAGTTCCACCCCAACCATATTGTCCATATAATCACAAAAGGCAGCATAGACCATAAGATGCTACTGTATTTGCTGAGCCCCTTTAATGCTGGACCAAAAAGAGAAGATGTAGTTTTCTGGGAAGCACCGATTCAACCTAAAAATCTGAAGTGATACCAAAGAGTCTCCCTAACTCTGCAAATCTGTATTATTATAGTTTCCTGAATAATCCATGTATTCTTTCTGTGTTTTTAAAAAAGTTCAAAATTTGGTTTGCTTTGTTAAAGATGTCAATATGTGTATGATACCTGAATACTATGCTTAATAGTAATAAGAACTTGGGAATCTAGAATATTGTCTGCTGATTTTCTTTTTAACTTATAAATAAATAAAGGTAATCTGAAGTACATATTGCAATTTAGCAAAAACAGTACAACAATTGCAATTGTGAATATATTTCAGGTTCGTGTCTGTGCTGGATGTGGCCTCTCTCAAACCAGAAGTTGACATGCCTGGCTGTTCAAACCAAGATGCAACTAGGAAGGAGATGGGGATTTTTAATTCTTCCACATTGATGGTTTCCAGGCTGAATCAGGCTGCATTGTCTCCCTCTCCCATTCAGTTATCATTAGACAAAACAACGCCCAAAGGAGACATTGCCCATGAATCTTCTCATAAAGGTAAATGTGAAATCACAGAAAGAAACTAAACATGCAAGACCAATGGATCTAGTGATATTGCACTTCCTGATTAGTTGAATGACATAACTGGGTTTTTAGATTCAAAGGCAAGCAATGATAATACTGAATCATGTCTTACCAAAAAAGCTGAAGGTTCAAAGAGGAAAGGCGATCTAGAGTTTGAGCTACAATTGGAAATGGCTCTTTCTGCCACTGCAGCAGGTATTTGTGAGGGTGATGCAGGCCCAGATTTAAAAGAGCTGCATACTACATCAGGTTTTCCTTCATTGAGAAGGTTGAAAAGAATTAAAACTGAAGATTCCATAGTTTCTTCCCAAGGAGTCTCTACTGCACTTGGATCAAGAAAAGTAGGACCTCCACTGCATTGGGCAGAAGTCTATTGTAATGGAGAAAACTTGACAGGGAAGTGGGTGCATATTGATGCTGCCAATGCATTTCTTGATGGTGAGCACAAAGTAGAAGCTGCAGTAACTGCCTGCAGAACGTCTCTGAGATATGTAGTTGCTTTTGCTGGGCATGGGGCCAAAGATGTGACTCGCAGGTTTTGCCTCCTAATTTTCTATGTAAATTTCATTCATTTTTATAACTTTACAGTAAATTAAATGACAATATCAATTCCAATAGATTTTTGAGATGAAAGATCGTACAGGTGTTATTTTATTTTCAATGTTGTGTTATGAACCTCTGAGATTGGGCAAGTATCTCATCTGTTGACAAGTGCTACTTAATTGGAAAATTTGTCTTTTTCTACTTTATACAAATGGAGGGCTTATTTGTAATTTACTTTTATTAGTATAAAGATCGATGAGAGGCTATGCTCAATGACTTAGGCTCTCTAACTGTGCAAAATCTGTATATGGTACACAGATAATAAAGAAAGAAAGAATAGAGCAGAAGAGAGAAGAGAAAGAACATAGCAGGAATGTGAAGAGAGTACCTTCCGACTGAGAGAAAACTCAAATCTCCCAGTTGGCCAGGTAATAACTGAAAGCAAATATGTATATATATACTGTTTAAGAACTTATTGTGTTTCCTAAACTACCCCATTTAAGTAATAATGAAAATACATGTATATCCCTGATCTAAATGAGAATAGAACACCATAAATAACATATTAGCTATTCTCTCAATACTCCCCATCAAGTTGGTTTGTATATATGTTATATAGGCTCAGTAAAGAATTTCAAGGTTAGCAATAAACTCCAATCCTTCATTTATCAAAAAAGAAAAAAAAACTCCAATCATTCCATCATTGAGACTAAGTCTTGACCATCCCAGCCTGACTCAATATATCATTAGTTTGGGTTGGTTGAGAGCATTTCTGGGCTTGGGTTAGAAAATTTAAATCTGATGTATGCTTGAGTTGGACTTGGATTAGGGTGGGTTGACCTGATCCCAGCCCAACATCGTACTATGGGATTATATTTTTGTATGCTTTCATAAAGATGTTTAATGGCCTGGAGAGTTTGTTTTAGGCTGGTTGGTTTTGAGTCTTTCCAAACTTTAATTAATGTGTTCTTTTAGGATAAAGCACTACAACCTGAGCAAATATGCCCCCACTTAACCTGATTTATGCTTGGATTTAACAGTTTATAGCTTGGGTTAGAGCGAAACCTTAAGGTAGCTGTTTAACTCTTGGGGCTGTGCTTGAATTCACCCTTGGTCCAACTAATCAGATAGGAGCCTTAAGACAAAGAAATTAAGGAAAATGAGAGGATAGAGGTAACTTTTGATTGTTACTATCATGGCAATCCTGGAACTGGAAGGCTGGTTGTAGCACATTCCTATGGGACTCTAATGTGGTGGAGGTTGAAGTTGCCCTTGAAGAATTATAAAAGTTCTCCTTCAGTCCTCCTTCACCTTGGACCGGTAATTGTTGGAGAAGATTTAACAAATTTTCTAGCATGGGGATTTAGGAGATAAAGAGGCCTTTGGTAAATGGTGAATTTCATTAAACATAGGTAGATTTATAAAGGTGGTTACTATTTTGTATAGACACAAACAAAGAAGTTTTATACATTACCATTTTCTAATCACATTTCTGAACTTGCATGAGTGCGTAATGTCCCAGGTCTGAATTTGAGCCTGTTAATCGACCAATTTTTTAAATCTTTAGTTTCCTTTTTCGTAAATTACAAAGACCCCCCTGTACTATGGGGTCTGTGACAAAGATCCCCCTGTACTTTGTTTTGCGACAAAGACCCTCCTGTACTATGACCGTGAGACCAAACCCCCCTTCCATTAGCTTTCCGTTGAAATCTGCCGTTACAATATTTTTTAATTCCCATACTACTCTTGTAATAAAAAAAGCACTGCTCATCTTCCCTGACCTCACGATACACGAACAGCAGTGCGATAAGGGGAGAGAGGGAGATTGGGGATTACCGCCGCTGCTGTTCTCTACCTCTGCAAATGGGGTTCCACCAGGGTGTCGTACAAGACAATCCTCTGCAAGTCCTTGGGCCGCTTCCATTTTCCTCTCTTCAACACATCCTGGAAGAACCTCTTCTTCATCATCTCCTGGAAGAGAATTTTACTAAATGAATCAGAAGAGAGACTCACCAATGCTTTGTAATTTTCCATGGGTTTCTGGTTTACCGTTTACTTCTGAAACTTCATCCATGAAAGGCCAACAAATTTGAAGAAGTGAGATACAAAACCAAAAGAAAAATAGTACCTGAAACCAGGAACTAATATCAGCAAACTGTAATTGGAAATGACTTACTTGGAGGTGATTTTCTAAGATCTTGATCAATCACAGGACGAACAAAAACAGAGTGTTGCTGCTTATTCACATTTGGCGAGATGGGTGCCGGTTTATCATGGCCCCGTTGAAGCTTGCTTTCCTCATCCATGGCTCTTTTCAGTTTTGCAAATTTATGGGCAATTAGGGAGTGGTCTGCAACAGGTGATGGCTTTTTATTCAGAATTGGGGAGATGGGTTTCGGTGTTTCATTGACCTGTGCAATCTTCTTCTCTTCATTCACAACCTTTTGGGGTTTTACGGGACTTGGGGAAATTACAGGCTGATCTGGAACAGGGGGTGGCTGTTTATTCACAATTGGAGAGAGGGGCTTTGGTGCTTCATCAGTCAGTTGAATCTTCTCCTCTTCATCCAAAACCTTCTGAGGTTTTACGGGACTGTCAACAATTACAGGTCGGTCTGCTACTGGGGTGGGTTGTTCATTGAAGTTGGAAGAGGTGGAAATGGAGGTTTCATGGACCTGATCAACCTTCTTCTCTTCATTAATGGCATTTTGGGGTTTCCGTTCTTCCATGTTAATTTCCTTAACATCAATGCTCTTCTTCTCTATCTCAATTTCTGCAACATCTTCCTCATCGTCCCAATCACTTTCTTCAACATCATCAACCCCATCACCGTCCAAACCTTGTTTTTCAGGAGATCCAATCTCACCCACATTACTATAACTGGTTGAAATTGTCTTCTCCTTGCAAACGCCGAACTCATTGCAATTCTCTTCAGGAACCTTGGGGGACTCAGATCTAATCTTCTTCATCTGAATTGGGCTTCTTTCAATCCCATCAGCCAGCATTCCAAGCTCCTAACAAGACTCGTCAGAAGATCGAATCGACTTGGATCTCGTCTTCCTTAACTGAATTGGGCTCTTCTCTCCTCCCCAATAGCAGCCGGAAGAGCAACCCCTCCTCCTCCACTTCCACCGCCGCCTCCGCCTTCGAACCCGTCACCGACTTCCACCGCTGCAACTGATTGCAGTGGCGGCGAATCCACCACCGGCCTCTCTCCCTCTCTCTCCATCTTTTATTATTCGTGTTCTTTTTCTATTCCTGCTCCTTCCCACAGTTGTCGCGCCCTCTGTCACCGCCGAATCAGTCGCTACCCCCAGCCCAGTTCGTCTCCATCATCTTCTCCCATTCTTCCATCAGTTCAATGGACAATAGAAGTTGTAAAATCATCACCAGATCTTTAGTGAAGAAAATGAAGGATCTCGATTCGCACAGTAAGAAGCCTCCAGGGAGGGATTTGAAGGAATAACTGTTAAAACTTGGGGAAAGGGAGAGAACAGGACTCTGTAGAATCTGCTGCATTTGGGTTTTGGTCTGGGGAGAGAGAGAGAAATGTGGATTACCGCCACTGCTGTTTGTGTATCGTGAGGTCGGGGAAGATGAACAATGTTTTTCTCCCAATTGTCTACAAGGGTAGTATGGGGATTAAAAAATATTGCAACGGCAGATTTCAACAGAAAGCTAACGGAAGGGGTTTTTTGTCTCACGGTCATAGTACAGGGGGGGTCTTTGTTGCAAAACAAAGTACAGGGGGGTCTTTATCACAGACCCCATAGTACAGGGGGGTTGTTGTAATTTACCTTTTTTTTGGATAATGAGAGAAATGGTGGCTTGTCTCTAGGTGGGGTGTTGTGATGAACTTTATACTACAGATTGGATTTTTCTGAAAAAATTGTAAATCCTTGTTTACTGTGGTTTTCTTTTGATATTTGCTGCAAATAATTGTAAATAGGCTGGTATAGCTTGCACTAGACATTCATAACTTATATGTTGTGTTTCTCATTATAATGAGAATCAATAAAATGTTTTCGCACATTTCAGGTATTGTATGAAGTGGTACAAGATTGCATCACAACGTATAAATTCACATTGGTGGGATACAGTTTTGGCACCATTGAGGGAGCTGGAGTCACATGCAACTGGTGGTGTAGTCCAGTTGGAAGTGCACCAAGAGAGTGCTTCAACTCGAAAAGATCTTCAAAGCAATGAAAGCATGCCTGAAATGTCCAGTAGGGAAGTGTCTAAAGAGCATGGTGCAAATATCAATGTGGAAATTTCCACACAGAATTCTACAATTGCTACCAGGAACGTTCTTGAGGATATGGAGCTGGAAACTAGGGCATTAACAGAGCCTCTTCCAACTAACCAACAGGTATGAACTAATAAAGTTGGATTTATGGTGTACAACTAGATCATAATTACATTATGGGTTTTGCATCCTGGCCCTGGTTGGTTGTTTCAGTACTTTTCTTTTTGTTAAATTCAGGCATATAAAAATCATCACCTTTATGCCATTGAAAGATGGCTTACCAAGTATCAGATACTTCATCCAAAGGGCCCTATACTTGGTTTTTGTTCTGGTCATCCAGTCTATCCTCGATCATCTGTCCAGACGCTACAAACAAAACAGAGGTGGCTGCGAGAGGGGTTGCAAGTTAAAGAAAATGAGCTTCCTGCAAAGGTCTGGGACATGGGACTACTTTTGTGGTAATTAATATGTGGATTCATATGGTATTTCACTGCTACAGTTCATGAATGCCAGTTTGTTGGTGCTTTTCTTCAGGTGGTTAGACGTTCTCTAAAACTTGTCAAAACTCAAGATTTGGAGTTTGGTAATTGTAATGAAGATAATAGTGAAGGAACTCTTGAGCTTTATGGAAAATGGCAAATGGAACCATTATGCCTTCCTCAGGCTGTTAATGGGATTGTACCAAAGGTGCAAACTTTTCTATTTCTCATAGATGTTATTAACTTTTAGTAAAATGACCTTATCACATAAATGATCAGTAAGTGTTGTCTTTTTTTTTTTGCAATGAATATTGTAGTCTTTTGTTTACTATTTTACGGCTGTTATCTCTCTATGGTAGGAACTTAAATGCAAGTGGAAAGTTGGAAAATTTGTCCAGTTACGTCGGACAGTAGGAGGGAACTAAATGGATGCTTGAAAAGGTGTGGGGGGGGTTAGAGAATAATGGATGATCGATACGGGAAGGACATGAATTACAAGAAGAAAATAAGATAGAGTTGTTGATCCAAACACACTTCAGTCATGATTATTTTAGCTTTCTATGTATTTGAATCAGAAAAGAAACAGTTGCAGCACCAAAAACTAAGTAGAAAGAAGAGGAGAAGAGAGATTGGGAAGAAGAGATGGTGGGCTTGATAGAGACCCCTATTAGTCTATATTATACTTTATGTAATAAAAAAATAGAACTACATGTCTGCCCCTTCTTAGGCGGTAGCAGTTACAATGTCTTAAAAGTAACAGGCCCATTAGGGCCAATAAAGAAACGTAACAGCCCACTAACGCCCAACAAATATAAACATAAAAGCTCACTTCTTTCTACAGATAGGAAGCGATCCTTGAGTTTGCCATGCCAAACAATCTTTGTATATCAAATACACACTTGAAAAGAGGGAAAGAACACCTAATGACTTTAAAAGATAAATCAACTAGGAGCCAGCAGATAGACTTTTCCCCAGCCTAGGGAGGAAGGAGCAGGTGTGTTTTTTTTTTATCAATGATAGGATATACACATTTTTTTGAGAAGAGGTAAAGTATTAATTCATTAAGAAAAAGCAACATGATCCATGTGCAACCAAAGGCTATACAGTGGGAGATACAACAAACATTAGATCACTATCCCATTTGTCATTACAAAAAGGTTTTCAAATTGAAAGAGAGAACTAAGGGGAATACTATTCCTTGATAGATGTGCAGATGACAAGGATAGAAGCATAGTTTTCAAGGCGTCTAGGTGACACTGGGGTGCCTAGTCGCCTAGGCGTCGCCTTGGCGATAAAAATATGACTTTTGGCTAGTTTCCTAGTTTTATATACCATTCAGCATGCATGTTAATTGAAAAAATAGCAATTCTCTTTATTAAGAACATTAAATTTCCTCTAAAAATGTGCAAATCATCACATCTAAAAGATAAAAATCTTTTACATATATTAATTTCATTATTTTAAAAAATAATACTACTATAATTAGTATTTAATAGAGAAAATTCATATTAATTAGCAGCTAAAGATGGTTATCAACTTTATATGATAAATATTCAAGATGGAAAGTAAAATAGAAAAAAAAACAAGGATGGAGTTTCTGTTTTATTTAATTAGAGAGAGAGAGAGTAGAAAAAATAACTTTATTATTCTATTCTGTCTTTCCTCTTTCTTTTCTTTCTTTCTTTCTCTCTTTTTCTCTTCTCAAAACCCTTTGATCTTTTAAATTTCAATAGTAAAACATTAAAACAAAGTATAATTGATATATATATATATATATAGCATATAATAAAATGTATTAACACATACATTAATAAGATATAGCAATATAAATGATATTATAAAAGGTACCCGCCTTGTCATTTTTGTTGCCTAGGCGGGCGCTCAGTCACCTAGGCGGGTGCCTAGTCGCCTAGAAGGGCGCCTAGTTGCTAAAAGTCAAGGCGCCCATTAGTCGCCTAGGCGACGCCTTGACATAGAAGTTTCCCAACTATTTTCTGCCACACTTCCTCTTCTTGACAGCCTTTACTTTGAAAGGGCCTTGAGTTTCTTTCCTGCCAAATTGACCAGAAAAAAGATCCTGTGACCATTTTCCATAGACTTTTCCCTCTCTTACTCAGACCTTGTATCCACCAGCCTTTTACAAAAACTTCTACTGTTGCATGGCAGCAACTTTTAATGGCAAATATGCCAAAGATTTTCACCCATATGTTGTATGTAAAACTGCAATATAGCAACAGGTGGTCAGCTTATTCTTCTACTCCATTACATAACATGCAAACAGGTGAGTCAATCGCCATTATCCTCCTGATCAGGTTATCTTTTGTAAGAATCTTGTTGAGATAGGCAGACCAAACAAAGAAAGGCACCTTTGAAGGGATATGCTTGCTCCAGATTATATGCCAAGGGAAATCCTGCATGTCCTCGAGTCAATTTATTATAAAAAGACTTTACTGTGAACTGACCCCTTTTATCTTCTGACCACAATCTTCTGTCCTCTGAGTTGAAATCAATTTGCATGGTATACAAGTTCTGAAGTAGCTGCCCAAAAGGTTCAATTTCCCAATCATTCAGAACTCTTCTAAACTGCAGGCTCCAAACATGATCACCATTTTAAAAATGCACATAATCAGCCACTTTTGTCTCCTTGTCCACTGCAATTGCAAACAGATATGGAAAATCCTCCTTTCACAAGCTGTTTCCACACCAGCAATCCATCCAGAACCGAACCCTGCATCCTCTTCCTACTTTTAAACTTGTTTTCCTTGCTAAAAGAACTGTAGCTCTTTTCAACCCCTTTTCAAATCGAGCAACCAAACAACTGATTTGCCCCTCCTGGATCCCACCCCTCATTTCTTGTTCTGTACTTTGCTTGAATTACTCTTTTCCATAGACAGCTCCCTTGTTGTTCGAACCTCCAAAACCACTTGCCATGTAATGCTAGGTTTAGTTCTTGAAATCTTCTAATACCCAATCCCCCATTCTTCTTTGATTTGCACACCTTTCCCCAATTGACTGTATGAACTTTTTTTACCATCCTTCCAGCCTCTCCATAAGAATTCTCTCATTTGTCTCTCAATCTAAGAGGCTATCCTTGCTGGAATTGAGTATAGCGATAATAAATGAACAGGTAAAGAAGACAGAACACTCTTTGTTAGAGTAATCTTACCCCCTTTTGATAGGTACCTCGCTTTCCATCCAGCCAGATTTTTCTCAATCCTTTCCACAATTGGTTCCCAAATAGATTTAGCATTGCATTTGGCACCCAAGAGCACTCCCAGATATTTTAAAGGGAACTTGTCCACTTTGAAACCCTAGGAATCAGCCCAGAGTTGCAAATCTTGTACCTCACCTACTGCTACCAGCTTACTTTTGTGCACATTCTAACGTAGTCCCGAGACTACGTCAAACCACCATAGCATTGCCATCAAAAAATTAAGTTGCTCCTGAGAAGCATTGTACAGGAAAACCAAGTCATCTGCAAACTGTAGCAAGGGAATGTATAAACTGTTCTCTCCCACCGTAAAACCCTCAAAAGACCACTCGATACTGCTCTCAGAGTCAATTTTCCCAAAACTCCCATCACATAAAGAAATAGTAGGGGAGACAAGGGGTCACCTTGTCTTAGACTCCTTGAACTCCTGAAATGACCAAAACTGAGGATGAAGGAGTTGTAACAAACGCCTTCATCCAATTCCTCCACTTGGAGGTGAAATTCTTCCTCCTTAGTATATTATCCAAGAAACCCCAATTTATGTGATCGTAGGTGTTGAGCAGGAGAAGAAGAAAGGAGGAAGGAAGAGGAAGAAGAAGAAGAAGAGGCAACTGAGTTGAGGCCTCAAAAGTTCTACTTCAGTCGAGTGAAGCATTGTATTTATACTATACTGGCCGTACAACACAATAGGACTGCAAAATTACAAGAATACCCCTGCAGGTACTAAACTTGTGTACAATACATATAATACACCTGTCAACACTCCCCGTCAAGTTGGGGCATAGATATCAATCATGCCCAACTTGTCACAGAGACCTTGGTGTCTGTAATGGTTTAGCCCTTTTGTAAAGATGTCTGCTAGTTGGTCTTTAGAGCTGATGTATGGAGTGCATACTTCGCCTGTGATGATTTTCTCTCTGATAAAGTGCTTGTCAACTTCAATGTGCTTTGTTCTATCATGTAGTACCGGGTTGGCAGCGATACTTA